GGTGTGCTGGACTATATTTGTAAATGTTCAATGGCATAAGGTTGTTAGAAATGTAAAGCATTGTTATTGTAAAAAAGTGACTTAAACTATTCAATGATTTTGATATAAAACTGTTGAATATGATTCATGACATATTCAACAGTTTATGAGAAATTGTTGAATATTATAGTATATTCAACAGTTTTTTTCAATAACTGTTGAATATCTTAATAATATGCAATGGTTTTCATAAAAAATTGTTTAACCTTGTTGCTATTCAAAAAATATTCCCGTAGACATATATTCAACGGTTTTGTTTTTGTCAAAAAAACCGTTGAACATATTTTACATAATCAATGGTTTTCTTTTCCAAAAAAGAACCATTGAATAAAGTTTACATATTCAATGGTTTTTGTCAAAAAATCATTAAATAAATTTACATATTCAACGGTTAAAAATTGTTGAATAAAGGCTTAGAGAATATTCAGCGTCTGATTATTCAGTAGGTAATAGCCATTTGAATATTATCATTTTTATAGTAGTGTTTTTTTGAAAAATATGGATACCTTCAACTTGATTCTGCAAGGTTAAAAACAATTTAAGCAAATAATTATGTAAGATTCTAATGATACCCTATATGTAATGGATAGTGGCACTGGCTCAAGTGCCACAATGACCCATCTGCACTTTCTATAAATAGAGAAATGTCATGTTGGAACCTTGAGTAAGGATATATGTTTCTTCCTCCTCCCTTTATTTAAAAACTATGGGTGAGTGGGTGGATATGATTTTAATAGTCTTTATCAATATAAAACTATAACCATACAATGAACTTGAGAATGAGTGATACTTTTTAAATTTTTTAATAATAAGCACTTGATATTTAAAATTTAAATTAAAGATAATATCTATAGGTTGTAACTATCCAAACCTACAAATGCAAACATTTAAAAAAATAGGCAAGAAATGGGAGAATAAGTTATACCTTCTCTATTAAAAAATATAAGGTATTTTTTAAAGAGTTGAATGTTAAAAAAATGTGAGGTATGTTTAGTCTTTCGAGATGTAATGTAACATCCCAAGTTTTAATTCCCTGATTAACTAAACCTAATTAGGGTGATTAAGTAAGTTGAAGTGGTGTGTGGCTAAAGAGGTCTAATAATTATATTTGATAGTATTTTGCCCTAGTTGTGGGTTCGATATTGACGCGGGCCACCTGAGCATCAAAAGGAGAAGAAAAGAAAAAGTTAAAGTTGTTGTGCCATACATCGCGGTGCGTAGATTGTCCGCCATGGCACACAACCATTTCCAAGCAAAGAAGTACCTCTCTATACCATGCACCACGGTGCATGGCCATTTTTTACACTTTATTAGACGCGAATTGAGATAGAAATAGAGAGAAGAGAGAAAGGAGAGGCACGTTAATACTCTGCTAGGGTTTACTTGGGAACCACTTTGAGAGTATTTTGAAGGCTACAAACACCCAAGGTAAGTATCATACTCATTAATCTCCCCTTTCCTTCCACATTTATGAGTTTATGGTTAAGGTTTGATCGTGAAAGTGGGATTTCAGTCCATATAGGTTATAGGTCTGAATTTGTTGACTCAAATGGAGTTAATGCAGGTAGATAAAATATTTAAACTTAGATATGATGAGTTTTGGTGTCTTGGGTTATTGGGCACCATAAATGTCCAAAAATCCCATTTATTATGGGTGGTTGAAAGTTTGTGATGCTATTAATGGGGATTTAATGGCTCATTAATGCTATTGGGAGCCAAAGGTAACTATTAAACCTAATGGTTAGGCTCCACCTCTTGTAAAGTAAAGGTTGGACAATTTAGAAGTAGAGATTGAGGGTTCAAATGTTTGAGTTTGTTATGTTGATAAAATTCAACTTGGTTGATTGTAGTTTTGGCTCTTGGTAACTTATTGGAGTGGAAATTCAAGCTTGGAAGCTAATTGATTGAGAGGTAAACCTTTGACCTCTCAAAGGTTTGAGGTAACCGGGGAAAAACTCTACTTTAAGTAGTTATATGTTAATTGATTGTTAATTAGTTGTGAATGTGAAATTGCGAATGCTTACATGCATGGGATTGGTTGTTTAAGTAAGAACTATATATTAGCTTCTTTGAGTGCATGAAAAAGCTATTTTTGGGCTTGAAAATGCAAGTACAAAGTTAAGAAGATTTTACTATGAATATGCCTATATTTTCTGAGAAATGAATGTGATGATGTGTAGAAATAGTTTTGTGTTAATAAGAAATGAATTTTGAGAAAAAGATGAGAATACACACTTGGGTAGCGTAAGGTCGTGAGCCTAATGTGATTGTTGTAATAGTGAGTATATGAAAGTGAAAAGTGAGAACAAGTAAATATGGTTTATGGCATGAGAATACACCCTAAGGATTGGGAGTGGAGAAAAAATCCATACGGTATTTAGGCTGCCTTCCAATGCACCAGGGCTATAGCCTTGTCCTACTATTTGTCGAGCGATTGTCTCATAGTTTATCGAGGAACTAAAAACTAGCTATCTCCACCGGTTCAATGAGGAGAATAGCCTAAGGTATGAGACACCCCAGAGATTCGAGAATGGAGGAAGCCGTGGTCTGAGAGTGAGTTCTGTGATTTTTGACCGGGTCACACTTCATGATTGGTGAGCTTGGGTAGTCCACTCACACGTATGGAGTCCTAATTAGTGTTATAGCCCACGGTTTCGGTCTGAGAAAATAAAGAGGATATAAGGTTAGTTGATTATTGCCTAAGTAATTATATAACGTGTCACACGTGTTAAGTCGCAGCAAGTTGCACAAGTATGGGTCATGTCACATATCGTGAGAATATGGTGACAATGTACCTAGTTATGTGAGTAAATAAGCTATAGAGTGATAAATGATAATTTGTGGTATATGTGGACTTGTTTTATATATTTGACTTCCTTGTGCATGTATTCATTTTATGATTAATATATAACTACATAAGGTAGGTTTAACCTTGGTTACTGAGTGGCTAAACTCACCCTTCTTATTTAATACTTTTTAGGCTCTAGTTCTGATGTTGAGAGGGAGAAGACTAAAGAGGCAGGGAATTAATACATTCCTTCTTGTATGCCTCTAGTTTTGATGTATTTATGTAATAGCATATAAATTGTCAATTCTAGGATGCATACCCCCATACTTGCACTATTTTGGTTATTGGAAATGTTAAAATTGTATTTTGAGCGCTTAGCTTTTGTGTATGTTGAGATGTGTGTGTGTGTGTGTGTGTATAGGGCCAAAATACTAGTGCAAGTGTAGAAATGAAGATTTGAGTATGTTTTGAATGATTTGAGCGAAATGCAACACTATTTTACCTTCCCCATTATTTTTGGTAAAAATGGGGTCGAGGAGTGAATTTTTATTATAATAATGTTTTAGTACTTGTGACATGTTGTACTGGTAGTCCTAGGTTCATTAGACAGGGTCCAGGTGTTAGGAGAAGCTTTTGGCACTTGTTGAGGGTTTTGGACATCCATTTTGTATAAAAGTGTTGAAAAGTGGTTAAATTATGTTGTGTGTGTCTAACTTCCTAGTGTGACTTGTTTTAAAAGTGAAACCCATGCTATTAGCTAGTACAGGAAAAGAGCTTTCTGTAGACACCTAAATCATGTCATTCGGATATCGGATGGAGAATCGGGCGAGCCGAAAGTTTCTCGATTCTGCTATCAAATTGACAGCAGAACTAGTGAAAATTTAGTGCAACACGCTGCGGCACAGAGTGCGTCCGCTACAACGCATTGCTTACATAATTTGTTTTCAACCGTTTTTGACTTCTTTCACTCCTCTAAGGTATCTCATGCTTTTGAAATTTATTTTTACTCTGATATAAAAGATTTTGATCGATTTTTAACTCATTTCTATTTAAAAAACTTGGGATCCTTTCCTTTTGAATTAAACTTAGGTAATCACTTTATGGGGAGCTAATCCCTCGATTACTATGAGCTTTATTTGTTAACCATGTTTAGTGGAGTGAGAACGTTTCATGTAATCATTATATTTTTTTTCAAAAGTGTCCCTATTGATGAATAATTTTATATTTATTGTAGAGTATTTAATAAGGGTAAATATTAAAAAAAGGTTAGTTTGAAAGTAAATAACTACTTTATTAGAGTAAATTTGATTAAAAATGTCTTATATTTTTAAATGGAGGGAGTGACTCTTACAGTAGATCAATTGGTAAAAAACCATTTGAAGTAATTATCATTTTTATTCCACATAACTAGCTATTTTTCTAACCTTTCTCCTTCAACCTTTCTACTTCGTTAGTAATTTCATGGATGTATTTAAATTTAAAGTAATTATTATTTCTACTCTAAATAACTAGTTATTTTTCCAACCTTTCTCCTTTAATCTTTTTACCTTTTAGTGATTTCATGGGTGTTTTTAGTTTTTCCTGCATTTTTAAATGCTCTTGAAATTTTAGGAGGCGTTTTAATAATTATTTTTCCAACCTTTCCCCTTCAATTTTTTTACCTTTTAGTGATTTTATGGGTGTTGTTGTTTTTCTCGCATTTTTAACTGCTCTTGAAATTTTAGAAGATATTTTGGAAAAACTAAGAAGAATAAGAAGAATAATTTTAGTGACATAATGAATGTTTTTTTTTCGTTCAAAAAAATGAATGTATTTTTTAATTTTTTGGGTACTTGGAATATTGGATGTCATTTTCGCTTTTGCTGTTGGAATTTTGTTCCCCAAATTTTTCTTTCTGCAAAAATTCGTGTGCCCTAAAATAAAAAGCTGGCCAAGAAAATGAAAAATATGGAGTCTTGAACGGCGACTAATGCGTTTCAGCAGCTACCATTAGCAAGTGTTGAAACGGCGAATCACGTCACGGGGGACGATGGGTCGCCAAGCCGTAGTCCAGTTGATCGGCTCCATTTTGTCACGTAAAACCTCTCCATCGCCACCATTGTCTCTGTCTCACATCCGCCATTACACGGCGGCTGCGCCACCCCCTCCAGCCGTCTTTGTTGACAAAAACACGCGCGTCATTTGTCAAGGCATCACCGGAAAAAATGGAACCTTCCACACCGAACAAGCCATCGAATACGGAACCAAGATGGTACCTTAATTCCTCTGAATGTTTGTGTAGCTTTTACGTTATGTTCGGTTTCAATATTCTTGTGACCTATGGTTGCTTGTCCCCTGTGTCTGGTAGGCTATGTAGGTCGTTCTTTTAATAGAATTTATTGCGTTTGGAAAATTACTGTTTGTTAGTTATGTCTGCTCAGCACATTACTGAATTCGAAGACCTTCTCAATTTCTACGTGGAAATTGAACTGCTATGCATTTTATTCCATTGGGCTTAAGTAATTTTGCCATATAATATTATGGTTTATTTGCTCGAGTAAAATGCAAGCCCTTGCTGAATCTGATTGTAATTGCAGCCAGCTCGTTTCAGAACTTTCTAAAAAGTTTAGTGGCTTGGCTTTAGCTGAATAAGTCGTTATATCACGACTCAAATAGAAAGCCCGTTTGCATCAAACTGTGATTCTGGGCATGAAAGTCTGAGCGTTCAAATACCTTTTTGTGTGTGAACGTTTAGGACCTTTCTTGGTTACTCAATTTCACCACGTTTTCAATGAACATAAATTTGTGACATTGCTCACAAGTTCTAGTTTTGGACCTTATTGATTTTGAACTCTTAGGAACACATTGATGTGCCTTTACTTATTTCCTAATATGGTTGATCTGTTCTTCTATATAAATTGGAGTGGGTCACATGCTAGTAATAAACAAAGATAATCGCTTTAGCTCTGTAGAAGACTCTAAGGAGCTCAAATCTAACGGATCACAACAAGAACATAGCTAGCATGCTGGAACTTTCAAGTTTCAACCCTTGTTACATTGTCGAAATAATTTCATCATTGGGACAGCAGTATAGCACTAAGATATTTGGGGTCGTGTAGGTATGAATCTGTTCTTAACTAATGATCCAACTTGCTGAATGTACATGTAGTTATTGTACTACTATAATTAGATTCTTGGGTTTTTTCTTCTTGCACTTGCAACTTTGGGCACAAACAAATTCAGAAGTTGATGTTGTGTAAATAATGTATCTATTGGCTGCATGTCTTCTTGTGGATAAGCAGGCATCTATCATTGGATTGATGCAATTTTGCTTGAATAGGTCGGTGGTGTAACACCAAAGAAAGGTGGAACGGAACACTTGGGACTTCCTGTGTTTAATACTGTTGCTGAAGCAAAAGCTGAAACCAAGGCCAATGCTTCAGTTATCTATGTTCCTCCACCATTTGCTGCAGCTGCCATTATGGAGGCAATGGAAGCAGAGTTGGATCTTGTTGTCTGCATTACCGAAGGAATTCCTCAGCATGATATGGTAATTTCTTTTTGTTATGAAAAGTTAAATTTTGGGTTTGAGTTTCATATGGCATTGAGAATTATTATATCTGAATCCATCTGCAAAACTTTTTTGTGGGGGGGGGGGTGAAGAATCCATCTGCAAACTTTATTTGGTGCTTGTTAAAAGAAAACCACATACTTGGAGTTTTGATTGTTTTATCTTTTCTTCTTTCTGGTGATTTTTTATTATTACAATTGTTAATGTAATTGATGTTTAAGTATGGTCCTGCAATCTTTCCATTCGGATGATTCTGGTTGGGTGGGCATATTTTTGTGTATTAGTCTGTCTTTTGAGTTGTGATGTGAGATTAGATGGCCACTGCATAGTTGTGGTGAGATTCTATTTATTTTTTGATTGATTTGATCTATATAACCAACTAATGCGTTGCATCTTTATAACTTTTACATAGACTTGGTGAACAGTGCACTGTAGTTTATCCTTTCTGTTCTTTATGTGAGTGGCACTGAACTAAATGTCTTTGTAATTTCAGGTACGAGTAAAAGCTGCTCTTAACAAGCAGTCCAAAACTCGATTGATAGGACCAAACTGCCCTGGTATAATCAAGCCTGGGCATTGTAAAATTGGAATTATGCCTGGTTATATTCATAAGCCTGGACGGGTTGGAATTGTTTCTCGCTCTGGTACCTTGACATATGAAGCGGTGAGCCCTTTTTTTGTTTACAGGAATTGTGATTACTAGTTAAGGGAGCTGATGTTTTCATTGCAGTACTTTAGAGATTGATGTGGGAGTACTTTGTGAGAATGGTTTTCCTGTGGTGGTTCTAGTAGATTTTCTTTTTAATGGATGATGGCGAATCACTTATATCTAACGCTAAAGATATTAGCACATTTTATAATAGTCAGTTCTGTATTATGGAGGCTAAAAAAATGCTCTGTTATTAACATCTGGCCGTGCTTCTCTGACAGCAGAGTTAAAGCATAAAAATTCACATGTTAGGCTTCACTGGATTATTTTACTTGCTGAACATTGTGCACCTGAAAAGAAAAATCAAACTATCATATAACTTTTTCCAAAACAAAGAATGCTTGTTTGTTATCCTATAATAGGCTTATTCCCTAGATTTTTTATTATCATTTTTACCTTAGCATGCTTACAGTGATGCTGTTTTCCATAGATAATAACATAAACCGTCAACCATGTAATTTTTTTCTTAATTTTAAGGTTTTCCAAACGACTGCTGTTGGCCTTGGACAATCCACGTGTGTGGGTATCGGGGGAGATCCCTTCAATGGAACAAACTTTGTTGACTGCATGGAGAAGTTCCTAGCAGATCCTCAGACAGAAGGTACTTTGTCACTTGTTGCTGGCTGTGTGATGAATTGAAATGGAGTATGAAATAAGTCCATTTTATGATAGAGCACAATGACGTTTTGCAATCCATGTAACTGACCCCACCTAGTGGGATAATGGCTTGTTGTTGTTGTTTATGAAATAAGTCCATTTTATAAGGATTTGGGGTGTTATAATGCATAAAAGTGGTCCTTTATCCCCAAGTGTTATAAGTTTTTTATATGTGTTATTGCCTTGAGAAACGTAAATAAAGCACACCCTTGTAAAACCTGGGCTGAGATGATTTTCCAAATTATTTATTTGTTATAAAAAATCAAATGGAGGAACAATTTGACCATTGAAGGTGACTAACTGAAGGTATATTAATTTGAATATTGAAGTGCGGTTTGGAAGCGTAGTAAAAATTTGATCTGCTTGGATGATAGTTTACTAAATCTAACTATAAATATTTGATTTTTGTATTTAGGATCATGTGTTGAATTGTAGCTATTTTATGTGCAAATGCATGGAGAAATGGTGCCCTGAAGTGGCTAGTAGTCTTTTTGTTCTTCCTTGCAAAAGCCAAGGCAAATATTTTAGGACAGCTGTCCACTCTTATTTTCCCTTATGCCATGTCGACAGTTAAATTATCTTATTTTATCCCTCTTGATAACTTGTTGCCAAAGACTACATTGGATTGGAAGTCAATCTTTTATCAAGGCAAAAAAAATATACTGTCTTTTGGGAAATAGGAAAAGAGAAAGGACATCAATCATATTTTGCCTGGCGACTTAAGGCCATGTTCATCACATTGAAATTTTTTATATATATGGAATAAGGTTGGGCAGTAATGCTTTTCAAGCTGATGACTGTTTGAAAGAGTAAGTTTTTTTAGCTTGTTTCAACTGGATTATCTATGGTAAGTATGCCTTGTAAATATGCTAACAAATTTAACAGTTTTTTTTTTTGTAAGTATTACCGTTTGTACTTTTTTTTTTTTTGACATATTTACTTTTTTTTACCTCTATTCAGGTATCGTTCTCATAGGAGAGATAGGAGGGACTGCAGAAGAGGATGCTGCTGCGTTAATTAAGGTTTGATTTTACTACATTGGCGCATAAAGTGTTCTTGATGTGTAACATAATTTACAAGTTTTAAATATCGTAGCTTTCTTGTATGAAAGGAAAATAAGTCATCTATCATGCTTCTGGAGATACATGTAATTTTGTTGGTGAAGGTTGTAAATATAATTATGAAGCAGAAACGATGTTGTAAATGTGCTTTTCCCCCCCCCCTTCTGGACAAGAATTTAAATGTTCCTTTGGTTGGAGGGTTACTTGATGATCTACATGGCTCTACATTTTATTCTATTGGAAAAGAGAGCTAGGAATAAAATAGCTAAGAATAGATGGTTAATAATGAAGAGTAATTTATTAAATTCCTATGCATGCACAATTTGTTATGTGAGCCTGCTTAACTCAGAGGTTAGAGCATCACATTGCTCATAGTCATTATTTTTATTATTTTTTGATCAAATAGTCATTTTATTATTGGTACATGAGTTCTTAAATTGATTTTATGAATGACAATACAGGAAAGCGGTACTGAGAAGCCTATTGTTGCATTCATTGCTGGATTAACTGCTCCACCTGGTCGTCGTATGGGTCATGCTGGAGGTAATTTCTCTTGTGAAGTTTTGTTTCTCATGACATCTGATACAAAATATCATTGCTGCATGTTGTTTGCCATGATAAATATGTGATGAGCGAGTTATATATATTTCCTTTTCTTTTTTGTTTTGGTCTGTAAGAAGAGATTTGGCCTAGCCTAACTAACCATCCTTCTGATAATTGATAATTATGGTTATTCTTAAATGAGGCAACCTTAGTTGCATAAACATGCTACTTGTGTAGCTTACACAATTTTTGCTAACCATTTTTACATTATCTTCATTTAAATCTCCTTTATATTTTTCTTTGGTTTTTTTGGGGGTTTACCTTTGGTCAATGAAGGTTAAATTTGTCAAACTTTTTCTTGGAAACAGGCAATATTCAAAACTGTCAAACCCTTATACTGGGTAACATTCTGCAATTGTCATAGATTGAATTGGTGGTTGAACTTACAAGGCATGCCATGACAAACAGAACCCATGTAGGCAAACAATTTAGTTATCAGTTCAAAATTAGGAGTATTAGAAAAGAGTTATCAGATCAAAATTAATTTCATCAGCTCTTAATTATGCTGGTATCTGTTCGATAGTAACTGTACTTCAACAATTTGCTTCCTTTTGCAGCTATTGTGTCAGGTGGTAAGGGCACTGCACAAGACAAGATTAAGACTCTCAGGGAAGCTGGGGTCACAGTGGTAGAGTCTCCTGCAAAAATTGGGGCTGCCATGCTAGACATTTTCAAGCAGAGGGCCTAGCTGAGTAGTTCAATTGTTGGACATCTAACTTCATTTACTTTCATCAAAACCTTTGGTTTTTCTGCAAGTTTCAAACACTTGATTCTTGTGAATTATATTGGATCTTTTCTTTCCCCCCGTTTTTTTAAAGCAAAGAGAGATAAATTAAAATAAAAGATATTTTAGGACCTTGAGGCTACTAAAATTTTTTATCAGACCCAATCAGCTCCAATTTCCGTGGTTCTGGAGTGTACACCACTTACCATAGATAATGCCCTTGACGATGAATTTTAAATGACTTCAACTTGCTGTTTCTGCAAGGTTGTTTGCTTTGTAATTCTGTGCTTCTGGGTAAGTTATGGCAATCTTTGTCATAGCATTGCTGTTGCCCAGCCAATTCTTTATTGATGTTTAAAAGGTGCATGTATCATGCACAGGCATGCTTTTCTCTCCTTGCCAAGGTCTACTAGAATGTGTGACAGTTGATTGGTACATTACATTAATTGGCAAGCCGAGGAACAGTTCAGGACAAAACATAAGTAAGTTTGATGATATTTCCTTTTTGTTGCACCTGTTATAGCGATGTGAAGAACTCTATGTGATACAACAGTGAAGTTACAAAACTAGCATTACCGGTTAACATTAATAGTTACTTTCTTCAGATTATGATATAAGAGATCTTCTAAAAATTTTGCCTAGTTCAAAATATAAATTATTAGATGATTTTATATTTGTTTTTTTCAACTATATTTCTATTTCTTTTATTACTGTTTTTTTTTAAATAATGTATTGAAATTTTAATTGCTATTATCAAGGCTCTTGTATAGGTTATTTAATGATGAATAAATGAAAAAATGTGGATATTTTTAAGAATTCAAGATTTTAACTAATATTATTTGTAAACTGGGAATTAGTTAATTATAATTTATATTCTGATTTAGAGGGAGTATTTAACTTTAATGGCTTAAATGTAAATCACACATTCATTCGAATGTTAATTATAAACGTGGTGGAGTTTTGTTACTTACAAGTCAAGTAACTCAATTTGACTTCTTATTTACTCCCTCGACCTGTAATTATTATAACATGCACGGGTGTTGAAAAACAATTAGGTTTAGGAGATGATTTAGATTTTCCCTTTTTTAGTGTTGTTATCGACTAAATGCCATTATTATCTCAATTTCAAATGCCTTTCTTAAGCATTTTCGAGAAAAGTATTTTAATTACGACTGAAATTTTGTAAAGTGCCTTGTACTCACAGACGCCATAACTCTAAAACTGGTGTTTTAATATGGATGACGAGTGGGAGTAGTAGGTTCACGGTAAATGTCTACATTTATTATGAAAAGTTGAACCCATCTTTTATTCAATCTGGAGCACTGATTGACATCAATGCATCAGTCAAAGGAGAGCAGGGAATTTAGTCCTGGCAACAAAGGAGCTTTGTGTAAAAATAAAAGTGAGCAATCCTAACTGTCCAAATTGCAAACATGGAAGTGTAGACCATTGAATATCTGTTCTTGTGCCCTTGGACAAGGAAAGACATTCAAAATCAATATTCATGGCTATTTTGTACTAGTGAGCTTGAATCATGAAGGGGGTTTCATTAAAGCAGAATACAAGAGTTCAAGGAGGGGTGAGGCATGCATTGAAACAGATTGTGAGGAGAATGCCTATGAATCTTTGAGGAATTGATTGGAGTGAAGAAATCTCTTTAGGTATGCTATTTTTACTTGGTTTCTCGCCAAGATAATTCATGAAGAGGTATTATTCACTCAAAACCAGAAGCTAATATGTTTTCCATTTACTTGCCAAATAAGTTAAAGTAATGATATTTCCCCTATGCAATGAAGGCAGGGCCACAACATTCAGAAGGTCTTCATTCTTTATCTTGACGAGATATCTTACTGAAATTACTTTATCATCAGTAATTCTACTCTCAAGCCCGAGGGTTAGTCAGCCTTCTCCAACCTAATCCTTGTTCTCAATATTTGTGGTCTTGGCTGTGATGTTTGCTGTAACACACCAAATTTTTTTTTTTAAATAATTTAACTCAATCATAGTTGGGTTACAGCCACCCAACACATTTTTATATCAATAATTTCGATATAAAATATTTATAATTGGCTTCAACTCACACACTATAACATTTCAGATAAATTTTTACCTCCCACATGTCATTAGGCTAAATCACATTTGTCTATCCTTATACTCCCAACAAGTAAACTAAATCACATTTGTCCATCCTTATACTCCCAACAAGTAAAATAAGCAATTAGTCAATTTTCAACACAAGCCAGTTATTTGACCTTATAATCATGCCATTTTAACCAATCCAAAGTAAACCAAATATTAAAATTACAGTCATCCAAATTGTACCAAAAATAGAAATAGTTTGAAAGACATGATTACATTTATATATTCATATAATTGACAATAAACAAAAAGCCCTAATATTGGCAATATAACACATTATAAATCATAAATTAAATACCTAAAAGAGACAGTGGATCTATACCACTAAGCCTCTGGGACTCCTCCACGTGTCACTCGTGGCTCTTCTCCTGAAAATTGTTAACCACATAATGAGACTCAAAAGTCCCAGTAACCAAAGCCAATTTATGATAGTGTATACAAACAGTTAAGTGTGTGCTTACTAAGTGAGAATTAAAAATAATATAATTCCAACAAATAAATGAAATATTACAATACACACAAACAACCATCCTTATATCCCTCCATTAACCTCGAGCCGTAGCCCTCACTCGGTGCTAAATACCCGGCCAAAGGTAGATTAGCCTGAGCCCTTACAAACCACCTATTGAGCTCCAATAGGGGCATACCACGTGGCACATAAATACAACAACAATAGCAAGTCTCCCAACACCTCCCACAATAATCAAATAAATTTATAATAATATTGCACAATTATATAATATTACAAAATTTATAATTTTCTCAATAATCACCCAATTAACATGAAGTAACACTAATCATAAATTAAAAGCATGGTTACCTTGTGGCTTTTTCAATAAATTATTCCTTAAAATTTCTCTCTCACCACAATCTTCACCAGTAATACAATCTACAAATAACATATTATTTATAAATATTAGTTTCAATTTTTGAAACTAATAAAATAATTCTAATAATAGAATTAAAAATATAACATAATTCCTAATCTCAATCTTAATACAAATCTATAGTTAATACTATTAAGTATAATTTTTAACTCCTCTTTTAATTATCAATAAACATTAATAATCTAAAAATCAACTTCTAAACTAATTTCTATTATCAAAATTTTCTTTTTATTTCATAAATTCGTACCTAAAATACTCAAAAATTAAAAATTAAGTCTCTAGCTTAGAATCATAATCCTATAGCCATAATAATTCATTTCTCATCCCAAATAATCATCTAAACCTCAATAAATCAACATATATTTTCAGATCTAGTCTAGAATTTGATCCATAAGCCACAGATTCAAAGATCATCAATAAATTTATACTCTAGAACATTTATTATACTACTGATAACCTCAAAAATCATATTTATTCAACATAAATTCATCCCTCTTCCAGATCTTAAATTTTTTACCACTACAAACTCAGAAACTAAATAAGAAGGATGACTAAGAAAAATTTTAGAACACTTACTTAGTCTTGAAAAGCTTAAAATCACATCCTAAATATCCTATTAAAACTCTTACCTTAAAACCCTGCACCGGTGAATTTGGCTCACAGATGCTCTCTCTGCCGAAGCTCACGCACGAAAGAAGGAATGAAGAAATGAAGGAACAGGTGAGTTTTTATAAAAATTCAGTGTCCCACATTTTTTTTTAATTATTTTCTCTCTCTCTCTTCTTCTTTTTTTTTATTATTTTTATTATTGTTACTGTTGAGGCGGCGGACGAAGCAAATTCGTTTCTCTTCTTCTTTCCTTTCTTTTTTTTATTATTATAATAATAATTTAATAATATTATTTTATTATTATTTTTTTTATTTTTTTATTTTTTTAAAATTATTTATTTTTTATTTATTTTTTTTTTTAAATTTTCTATTAACCCAAATTAACTATTAAAATTTATATTGGGATATTACAATTCTCCCCTCCTTTTAGAAATTTTGTCCTCAAAATTTAAAATTAGTAACTATTAACTACTCACTTAATCAAAAAGACGAGGATAATCACGTCGCATACTGTCCTCGGTCTCCCACGTAGCATCACCTGGAGTCGTGCCCTTCCAAATTACTTTAACCAATCTAATGGTCTTGTTTCTTAATTGCTTGTCCTTGTAATCCACAATCCTTTCTGGTTCAGCTTTGAATGTCAAATTCTCCCTGAGTTCATTTCCTCGGGTTCATTATATGGGAAGGATCTGGTTGATACTTTTTCAGTTGTGACACATGGAATACGTTGTGTATTCCAGCAATTGTGGGGTGGTAATGCTACTTGGTACGCTACTGGTCCAACTCGTTTTAAGATCTCAAAAGGCCCCATAACCTTGGTGTCAACTTCTTAGCCTTAATAGCTCTTCCAACACCAGTTACCGGAGAGATTTTTAAAAATACATGGTCACCTACTTCAAACTCAAGCGGTCTTCTCCTCTTATCCGCATAACTCTTTTGTCTACTTTGAGCTGTGAGTATTTTTGCTTGATTAAAGCAATCTTTTGGGTAGTCTCATCAACAATGTCTGGCCCCAAAACAGTTCTCTCACTTAATTCTGTCCAACACAGTGGCGATCTACATTTTCTTCCATACAATGCCTCATAAGGTGCCATCTGAATGCTAGAATGAAAAACTATTATTGTAAGCAAATTCAGCTAATGGTAAGTGACTGTCCCAATTACCTCTAAGCTCAATGGCACACGCTCTTAACATGTCTTCAAGAGTTTGTATGGTTCGTTCCGTTTGCCCATCGGTCTGGGGGTGGTAAGCGGTGCTAAAACTCAGTCGAGTACCCATGGCTTCCTGTAATGACTTCCAAAAGTTTGATGTGAATCTCGGATCACGATCAGATACAATATTTGTCGGCACTCCATGCAATCTCACCACTTCTCTTATGTAGATTTCAGTTAATTTTTCGAGAGAATACTTGATATTAGTAGCCAGAAAATGAGCTGATTTGGTGAGTCGATCTACGATTACCCATATAGTGTCATGACCAGAAGATGTTCTAGGCAATCCTGTAATGAAGTCCATAGAAATGCTGTCCCATTTCCACTCTGGAATATCAAGAGACTGTAGCATCCCGGCTGGTTTCTGATGCTCAATTTTGACTTTCTGACAAGTCAAACAACGAGTTACATGTTCAGTTACATCTCTCTTCATCCTTGGCCACCACCAACCACGTCTTAAGTCATGATACATCTTAGTTGCTCATGGGTGAATGGTATATTTACTCTGATGAGCCTCCTCAAGTAGGATATTTTTCAATCGAGTATCATTAGGCACACACACTCTACCTTTATATCTTACGACATCATCATCGGTCACATCAAAATGTTCAGCCTTTCCAGCCCCAATCTCTACCCTAATCTTATTCAAATGATCATCCTTCTGTTGCACAATTCTAATTTCTTCCCAAAATTATTCTCAAATTCAGTAATATGTAGAGCAGCCAAACGATTTTCGACTACTTCTACATTTACTTACTGCATGAAAACTACTCCATAATTCATATTCTCTGACCATCATGTGAGCAGTATGTACAAGCTTCCTGCTCAGAACGTCGGCGACTACGTTAGCTTTCCTGGATGATACTTCAACTCAAAGTCATAATCCTTCAAAAACTCAATCCATCTGCGCTGTCTCATGTTGAGCTCCTTTTGATCAACAAATATTTTAAACTTTTATGATCACTGAAGACTTCAAAACCATAAAGATAGTGCCTCCAAATCTTCAAGGCAAATACTACAGCAAAGGCAAGCTCCAAGTCATGAGTGGGTAATTTTCCTCATGAGGCTCAACTGTCGAGAGGCATAAGCCACTACTCGATCCTCCTGCATCAATACACAACCTAAACCGTTCTTAGAAGCATCAGTATACAAGGTATAGGAGAAGTTTGGAACAGGTAGGTGAGCACCGGTGTGGTGGTCAAACCTCTTTTTCAGCTCCTGGAATGCAATTTCACACTCGTTCGTCCAAATAAATGGAGCATCTTTCCTGGTCAACTTAGTCAAGGGCATTGTAATTTGTGAAAAACCCTTAATGAAACGACGATAGTAGCCTGCAAGACCCAAGAAACTCTAATTTTCTGTCACACTTCGAGGTTGCTCCCATTTTCATCACTGCATCTATCTTACTAGGGTCCACTGCTACCCCTTCTTCTGAACAACATGGCCTAAGAATTTAACTTCTTAAGCCAAAATCACATTTGCTCAACTTGGCATAGAGCTTGTGCTCTCTTAATATCTCCAAAACAATTTTTAAGATGTCTAGCATGGTCCACCTCATCTCGAGAATAAATAAGTATGTCATCATAAAGACTACAACAAATTCATCGAGATAAGGCCAGAAGATTCGATTCATATAATCCATGAAGACAGCTGGGGCATTTGTAACCCAAACGGCATCACTAGAAAACTCATAGTGCCCATATCTAGTCCTAAAAGCAGTTTTAGGGATATCCTCTGCTCTAACCCTCAATTGATGATACCCTGATCTTAGATCAATCTTAGAAACACTCCTGAATTGACTAATGGTCTAACAAATCATCAATTCGAGGTAAGGGGTTACTTGTTCTTGATGGTTACCTTATTCAATTGTCTATATCATACACAATCTAAGGCTTCCATCTTTCTTTTCACAAACAGTACCGGTGACCCCCATGGTGATACACTCGGTCTGATAAAAACCCCTTCTCTAACAACTCTTCAATTTGTCTCTTCAACTCAGCTAACTCCGATGGAGACATCCTATAGGGTGCCTTAGAAATAGCCCGTACCAGTTACGAGCTCAATGAGACTCAACCTCTCGTTCCTGGAGGCAAACCGATCACTTCAGTAGAAAGACGTCAGGGATTCTCTCACTACTGGAATCTGATCTACACCTTCTTCAATCTCTGCCTTGATTGAGAAGAAAATCATAAAAGCTTGACAGCCCTTTCTTATACACTGTTCTACTTGAGCTGCAGACAACAACATAGGACTTTGGGACTCTACAGGGGTTACAGTAAGGCGAAGTGACACACTCTTTTCTGACAATCAAGTACAGCTCCCCTTTGCAGACAACCAATCCATCCCCACAATTAAATCAATTCCCAGACAAAGACAAACAAATGAGGTCTATGGTGGTCTTCGACCCTCATACTCAACCTCTACATTTAGACATGCTAGCAGTCTTACAGTCAAACCAGCAGGAGTGAAATCTTCACATCAAACGGAAAGGTAACACAGGCAATTTACATCTTTTCATACATTCATCAGACACAAAAGAGTGTGTAGCACCCGAATCAAACAAAGCACAAACATCATTATAAAGGATTCGGATTATACCTCGGATAACATTAGGGTTGTTAGCAGCCTCTGGCCCAGAGAGGGCATACACTCGTGCTGGTACTGTAGTCTCTGATCATTACCCCTATTCTGATTTTGATAGCAGAATCGGGCAATATGACCAGGCTTCTGACAGAGTAACAAACCCAACAATCACCAGAATGAAACTTCCCACACTTACTGCATGCTTGATTACTAGCAGCCGGAAGTAGGATTAAGGTAGCTGGGCTCCTGTAGGACCCCTGACTCCCACTCTGATTCCCTCTGTAGGTTGGCCCTTATGGTAGTAGCCCTTCTTCTTCTGATTTCTAAAGCCTTCAAAGATTTGACTGCTCCTCTCTCTACTCCACCAATGGGTCTGGTGTGGATAGGGGTTTCCCATGAGGTTCTTTCCTCCTCTCTCTATCAGCTTCTAATCTAGCCTCTCTCTCCTCCGAGAAACTATCGAAGCTTATTGCACATCTCACTGAATGTCTTGATCTCAAAAGGGGCTAACTGTTCCCTTAGATCAGGTCTCGCCTTCTCTAAATCGTTCAGCCATCCACTCCGTGTCTTCATGTTTCTGGAGTAAGTAGAGTATTTAGATAATTCTGAGAATGTTCAATAAATTCATCCTCATCTAAATCACCCTGGCGGAATGCATGAAACTCAGCCTCCTTTTCTGCTCTCAGTGCAGTAGGAAAATAATCTCGAACAATATGGCTTTAAAATCTTCCCAAGTAAGAGAGGGAATCATCCTTCGGTCCTGATGTTTCCCACCATTCTTAGCACTCTTCTGTAGTAGGAATATTGCCAGCTGCACCTTTGATTAGAAGTGCACACAACCATACGAAAAATACTCTCCAATTGATCTATCCATTCTTCAACTATCGCCGGCTTAAGATTTCCATCGAAAGTAGGAGGATTAAACTTACGAAAAGTACTCCAGATCTTTGTGATCGTGGATGTCTGTTGCTCAGAGTGGAGACTCACATTCTTCGGACTAGTCTCATGGTGAGAATAGGAAGGTGAGCCTTTATCAACAGATTGGCTCGCATTAAATACCTTGGTATGGCTTCCTTCTTGTTGGCCATTTCCCTCTCGGTTGGAATTCTCCTTATATTGTCTTAAAGCGGCCAATTCTTCTTCTTGTCTCTTCATGCGGTCACTAAGATTATAGTAGATCCATCATTTGCCTCATAGTTGGCTCATCCTGCCTTAGTTGTGACTGTATGGGCTCGCCCTACCCAATGTTGCTGTGTGGGCTCTGGTTGTGGCAGTGAAGGTATGTCATTCCTATTGGCTCTATAGAATCACCGGCAATTTCGCCACTCTCCTAGTTTTAGACACCATCTCCCCCCCTCCTAAAGGATGGAAGTCACATATTAAGTTAACACTAATCTCAAGACAAGAAAAATAATGGAGAAGTTATTGATTTGCTAATGTATATTGCCAATAAACTAGGTTAATGTATAACAATTTTATATTTATAAGAATTTGAAACATGTAGCTCTGATACCAAAATTGTAACACACCTAAATTTTTTTTTTAAATAATTTAACTCAACCATAGTTGGGTTACAGCCACCCAACACATTTTTATATCAATAATTTCGATATAAAATATTTTATAATTGGCTTCAACTCACACACTAAAACATTTCAGATAACTTTTTACCTCCCACATGCCATTAGGCTAAATCACATTTGTCCATCCTTATACTCCAACAAGTAAACTAAATCACATTTGTTCCTTATACTCCCAACAAGTAAAATAAGCAATTTAGTCAATTTTCAACACAAGCCAGTTATTTGACCTTATAATCATGCCATTTTAACCAATCCAAAGTAAACCAAA